ACACGCTTCAGGAGGCTGTGCTACTCTCTGGGGTAGGAGTGGGCAGAGGACAGCCACCCCAGAGCGAGGAGAGTCGTGTGCTTGTCAGACCAGGCAGGGCCAGAAGGGCCAAGGAGCTGGGGCCCCAGTCGCATGTGCGTCACTGCGTGGCTCTGTGGTCTTGGGAAAGCCTTTCCTCTCACTGGGCCTTCGTCTCTCCATCAAGAGGGGCTGAACTAGCTTTGAATCTCTGTGATCTGTGTGGCTCTGTCTACAAAGGCTCTGTCCTTGACAAGAAAGCAATGGGCCGGGGCCACTGAGAAACAAACCTCTCCCTGCCTCTGCCCTTCTCGTCTTGGTGTGGTTTCTGTCGGCTCTCTGGTTTACCAGCGAGCAGGTGCTTTTGCCTGGGGGCAAGCGAAAGAGGGTGCAACGCGGGGAGGGGCACGCACACGAGCGTGTGTCGCCAGCAACTTGAGACAAAGCCCGGCGAGTCTCAGGGGGTCCTGCCCAGCCTCCTTGGAGGCCCCTGGGTCCTGCCCCTCAGCCCCTCCTGGGCAAGGGGAGCTGGCAGGCTGGGGGCTAAAGTGGCATCTCTACCTGCTGGGATGCCTGCTGTGCCCCGCCCTCCCGGAAGTGAGACCCCCAGCAGCCAGTGTCTGCTCAAGCGCCACATCCCCTCCCTTGGCTGCAAAACTCTCTGCCCTTTTGGCTCGGAGGGGGTCCAGGTGCTGCTGGCTGCACTTCAGAGGGGAGACGGCCCCCCCGCAGGAGGCAGCCGGGCCACCAGCGGGAATCCGGGTCCCGGAAGGCGGGACCACAGCGGTGCCAGGCGGTATGGGCAGACACACAACGTCCCCTCCCTGGCCCCCGGGCCACGCTTAGCCCTTTCTGGACGTGTGTGGAAACAACCGGCTGAGTTGCCATTATAGTCGGCACTGCGTGTTGGCTTCTAACGGCAGTGCTGGCCAGGGACAGCTGTCAGGGGAGGGTCTGGAGCCAGAGCCTGAACTGGGTGTTAGTAGATGGAAAGCTATTAGCCCGCTCCCTCTTGTGCCCCATTAACTCCGCCTGCCTTCTCCGATGGCAGCGCTACGGGAGAGGCAGGCCTAGTGAGGCAGGCAGGTCTCTAGGGCTAACCTGAGTCTCGATGGGGAGTGGGGCTCACGTTTTGAAATGAGCAGCTTCTAATTACTGGGTTCTTGCCCCATTCACCGACCTTTTTCACATGTACTCCTTCCCAGGAGCGTGGGGATTGTGTCTATGTGCTTCTAGGGGATTCCAGGGACCTAAGCCAAATGCGGCCAATGGCCCAGCTCGGGTGGGAGGCAGAGGGAGGGGTTCTCGGTGTGTCAGATTCTTGTGGAGAATGAGGATCTCAAGCTGGGAAGAAAGACCTCTTCTACGGGAAGCTCAAAAGGAACCAGGATGACAGGGGGGCCCTAGACACCTGTCTGCCCATCTTCCCCGAGACCCTGGAGAAACAGGTGGGCACACAAGGCAGAGAGAAGCAGACCCACCAGAGAGGTGCTTCACTGCTGAGCCCAAGCCGAGGCGCGTGTGTGCGTGGTGTGTGGGCCCGTGGATGCATCTGTGTGTGTATATCCAGCCTCAGTGTGGGTGGGCCAGGGGAGCGGGTGGGGAGAAGGCAGGCGTTCTTGCCCAACAGCTTTGGTGTCTGGGGGAGGAGAGGCGCCTGAGGAAGCAGCTTCTCATAGCACAGGTTGCCTGGCCCTGAATACGAGGAGGGCCTCACCCCTCTTCTATGGCTGTGCTGAGGGTCTGGGGGAGGGAAGTTCCATGTCCTTCAGAACTGATGGCCAGGGAATAGCTCTCAGCCCCTGGGGAAGATGGGCCCCAGGAGGGGTGCTGAGGACAGTCAGGGGAGGGGCCTCTCGTGTTTGCCCTCTTAAGAGGCTCTTGGAGATGTCGGGACTGGATGGATGGACGTTCGTAAGCGTCCAGATGGACTCCTGGGTGGGCAGTGTCTTTGCCGCCCGTTGAGCTGACTCTGCCTGTCCGGCTGCTGCTGAGCACGGTGGCGGAGGCCGAGGATAGGATAAGGAGAGGTCAGGGGAAGGCGGGGTGATGTCACCCCAGGGAGTAACAGGGTGGGGGTGGGGAAGCAGGGCTCCGATCAGAGCATTTCCTTCCGCCCACCTTGGTCTGGGAATGAGACTCCAGGACCCGCCCAGCATCTTTCCTTAACTCAACATACATTTGCCATCAAAAGGGAGATTACAACTTTGTCACGCCCGATATGAAGGCCCATCCAGGTCTGATGGGGGTTGTGATGTTGCCCACTAGCAGTAACTGGAAGTCGGGCCCCTGGCTTCTCCAGCTGTGCCACCAGCTCACTGGGTGGCAGATGTGGGTGGGCGTCCTGGGCAGGTCACTTCCCTGCCTGGGCCTCAGTCCTCTGATTTGAGACGGGCACTGGCCAGAGGCCTCTCCAAGGCCTGTTCGGGGCTAGAGCCCAGAGATATCATTCAAGTTCATGAGGAAAAGGTCTAGAACCTCCCCACCCACCACATCTAACACTACCCCTCATTTCTCACGGAGTTGAGCTCTCAAGACAACGTCCATTCCCCGGGCGGTTGTCTACAGGGTCAGGGTGGGGGTGTGGGCAGAGAGAAAGCCAACAGCTCGTTTCGTAGCAAGGGGGTTCCCAGCATGTGCTCTCGCAGTAAAAAGGTGAAAACATACCAATAAGGAGCTCGAAAAAATCTGAGTTGTGCAGCTGAATGAATGAAATGCTGTTCCTCAAGTCAGCGTCGGTCTTGCCTTCAAGGAGGCAGCCGTGTCCGGCGCGATCAGGACGAGCAGAGGCCGTCCGAGAGGCAGAAGTGACAGACCAATGGATGACAAGGGGGCAGTGAGGACAGCCGCCTACCCGACGCGGGGGTGACCAGGAGTCAAACAGATCACACACCTGTAGTCAAAGGAGCCATCCTCTTCCTTGGGGTCTTCAGGGCCAAGGGGAACATCCTTCTTTTCTCGCACTTGGTCGGTAAGAGAAGCAAAGACACAGACACGATGATTATGCCTCTGCTCCTTGGGACCCTGACTGCACGGTCAAGGCACCACCTCTGGGCTCAGCAACACTCTCCCTCTCAACGAGGCGCCATCAATGCCTCCCTCGTCCTTCCCTGGTTTCGCCGGGTGTCAAGTTCATGGCGCCACTGCTTCCTCATGGCTGCGGTTTCTGCACATCTCCACTGGTAGCTGAAATGCCCTCCCACCTGGCTCCCCACCACCTCTCCGTGAGGTTGGCCACAAACACCCAATGGATGCGACCCTCCCTTGGTCTGCCCTCTCTTATCATAATTTGTGTCTGTCTCTTAAAAGCCCCTAGCAGAGTGCCCTGGGCAGAGGGCAGAGGGCCCTACGCTCCGTACGCACCTTCAGGAATGGAAAATGCTTTCACATCTGTGACCTCACTTGTTTGTGCAACTCCCTGTCCCTATACCTCCTGTGTGATTTTGTACACACCCCTCCAAGGCCCTGTTTCATGCTGTGACGTTCCTTCTGTGCCCAATGCAGTGTGTTGAGGGACCGATCAACTTTCTTCTGGTGTCCTGAGCACTCAGCACAGAGCCTGGCACACAATGGACACTTACGCGGATGGCTCTTTATGTATCCTTCCTGAGGTACAGGGCAGGAGAATCGCCCCATTTAAGGAGAGGGAAACTGAGCCCTTGGAAAATGAAGAACATGTCATATAACTAATTAGTAACTGAATAAAGTCTAGAGTGAAAGCTAGAGCCCAGGCCTCATGATTCACTCATCTTTCTACTGGACCAGGGCCCTACCCTGTATCTGGAGGGAAGGCAGTAAGCCTTGAGAGCTTTCTGGAATGGAACACTTTCTACACGGGCAAAGGACGGCTCAGAGTTTATCTGATGCGTGGGGGGTTGGGGGTGAGCTCAGTAAGGCCGTTCTACTCCCTGACTGTAGAGCTTTCTCTCTTATAGAAGAAAAACAATCCCCACGCAGCACAACCAAGTGAAAGAAAACGTCATTTGCCAATGAAGAATTAGAATTTCCTGCCCTTCCTCACAAACAGACATGTGCCTCACTTCAAGGAGATTCTTTAGAATCCTGGGGTCTGAGGGAATGTGGGCAGGGGAAGGAAATAAAAGAATCTTCTCTCTGAGTTGAGTTTTAGGGGGCCCCCGGAGGAGGACTTGTTTAGAGGCCGGGAGAGGCAGGCATTTGGGGAGCACGGGCTGTGCTTTAGGGGGCAGGGAGTAATTTCATTTTGCAGACCAGCAGGATTTTCACTCTCTGGGTCATCCATTATCCTGTCTCCTGTCATCCTACCCACCCCCTCACAGACAGATGGCTTTCTTGCCCCCGTTTGAAAAACAATCAATATTTCCAGAAGCACGAATGCCAGAGGTCCTTGTCCTTGACCTTGGTTTGTCTGGGCTGGTGGTTCTTGAGGCCCCCAGAAGAGAAATGGCGCTTTAGGACTCTCTGGGAAGCCCCAAGCTCCTTCAGGACCGAGGGAGTCTGTATCACGCAAGCCACCCCTCAGCCTCTGCCTGCCCTTCACGCAGGAGCTCCTGAGCCTCTGTTGGGGTATCTGTCATTACAGCCCAGTGACCGAGAGCCTCACGGGTGTGCTTCTTCCCTCCAGACCCTCCCCTCTCCATTCTCTCTCTCACAGAGAAAATACCTTTCTTCCTTCCTCCTTCCTTGGGACACAGGATCCTAATGGGATTCAGGTTGAAACAAGTCAATTTGCTAAGCAGATGGATGGTGGGCCAAGGGGAGGGAAGGTCATTCTTAATAGGAGCCAGCGTTCCTTCTAGCCCCTCTTTGGAGCTGCCTGGACCACGCCGTCCGCCCACCTTGGGCGAGCTTAATTAACTCAAGTGCTCTCCGGCACCTCTCAGATGCACAGACCAGGCAGGAGGACTGTACGTCCGAGCTCGGCAGGGGTTGGGCTCACGGGGAGAACAGAACCCCCCCCCCCCGGACCTGGCGGCTCCCAAGAAAGCCTGCCGGCCCCACCCCCCCAAGCCCACTCGCCTGTGACATCTTACCTGGATACTTGCCACCTCGACTTCTCTTGATGAAACAGACAATGAGCAGGATCAGTACCAGGAGGGCGATGGCGCACATGAGCCCGATGAACCAGCCCTGGGTGGCGATGTCCGCCTGGTTGTTGGTGTAAGCTGGTGGGGGAGGGAGGGCCGGAAGCAAACACGTGAATGATTTCCCACGGGAGAAGGTGAGGAGGGGAAGGTGAGGGAAGAACGGCTATTTCACGTCGATGTTCCTCCTGGAGCCTTATGCTACCACCTAGCAGCCCTCTGGCCCAAACTACCCCACAACAGGGACAAAGAGAAAATAATTAACGAGCCAAGGTCAGAAGGTCAGAAAAGAGGCACAGGAAAGGGGTAGAGGGAGCAGAATAAGCAGCAGAAAGCTGAACAGGTCCTTCAGGAAGGGAAAGTGTCCTAAGGACGGGGCATGGGGTTCTTGCAACCCAGACGGCTGGTCACAGCCCAGTGGGGACTGAGGGAAAGCCGGGATCGGCCCCGGAGGTACGATTCCCCGCGGACGAGCTTGGGGTGAGGAAACGGGACTCTGCAACCCACCAGGGAACGGGGGCCATGGTTAACATGGCAAAAACCTGTCAGAAGAACACCTTCGCAGGCCTGCACAGGCACAGAATGGCAACCTTTCCCACCAACCTGGCCCCAAAGCCAACCGGGCTTCTGGGCAGTGGGTCTGGGCAGGGTGTGGCTCCAGGATGCCCTGTGCCTTCTCACGCTCCCCCAACTGGATCGGGCGCTCCCTGACAGCAGAGACAGTCCCCGTGCGGGTACCCGGATGGGCTGGCGGCACGGCGGGGGCCGGGGCCGTGCCTTCAGCGTCCAGCCACTTGCAAGCCATTTCCAACGCGTGGAGGTTCCCCCCGCCCCCGCCACCAATCCCCATGACAATGAGTCCCTCTCTGTCCCTTCCCAGTGCTCGTGAAGACATGTCCCCGTGTGGGCTGACCCCTTCACAATCCAAGGGGCACTTGGGTGGGCCAAGAGGACAGCAGCTCAGGTGTCCTCTGCAGGTATTCTGGATGACCCAACGGTTGGCATGAGGGTTTGGGAAGGGGTGTGGCGTGGGCAAAACCCACTCACCCTACTCCTTTCTGTGGATTAGAGAACAGCAGCGGCTCCCAGCCTGCCACGGAAACCGAGATTTGGGAGGAGCGGCAGGATCCAAGCAACTGAGCCAACTCAAAGTAGCCCCGGGACCAGCCTGGTGAGCCGAGGGGCGTCTCACAGAGCCAGGTGACGGCAGGGTCCCAGAGAGCCCATGGAGCCCCGGGCCAAGGCACGGGACCTCCTCCTGGGGACGAGCACGAGGAACAGAGGGGTGACCAGGAGCCCTCATGCTCCAGGGTCTCCATCACATGCTTTTTTGTGGGGGAGGGGTCTGGGTGCGATCCTACCCTTTGCTCTTCCTGGGCACAGAAACTGTCTTTAGAGCCTTCTCTGTGCCTGGGCAAGGGAATGCACCAAGAAGAGGGTGGACAAATGGGGCAGACTGACAAATAAGTGCTTTCGTGCTCTCTGTGCTCTGGCTGCCCTGGCGTGATTACCCGATCTGTGTATGTTGTGCGGGGATGGCCCATCCCTCCCACCCCTACCCCTGCAGGCTGTTCCATGAAAGGTGCTAGAGAGATCCTCCCCAAGCCCCTCGGAGGAGCAAACCACTTCCTTGCTTCAACCCTCCAATGCTTCCCATTGTTACTGGGTGAAAAGCTAGATTTCTGTCCTGTCCTCGCAGGCCCCACCCGAGCTGGCCCCGGACATTTCTCCAGTCTGGTCTTCTACCCTCACTCCTCTAGCCACACTGGCCACTCATGTCCCTACCTCAGGGCCTTAGCATCTGCCGCTCTTTCTTCAGATGGCCGCCTCGGCAAATGTCACCTCCTCTTAGAAAGGCCTTCCCAGACCTTCACAGCTAAAGCCAAAGCCCCCTCCCCCAACCAGCCACTCGGGTTTCTCTCTCTCACAGCACCTGTTCCCACCGGATACGGTCCCACTATCACAGTGCACACTCAGAAGCACCTCCTGTGGGCTGGTCACGGCTCTGAGTACGTCTCCACCCAGCATCTAATTCGATCCTCACAATCCCATCAGGTAGGCTTTATTAGCTCTATTTTACCGATGAGAAAACTAAGGCACAGAGATTTTACGTGATTTGCTCAAGGCAAAGAGCTCGTAAGCTACGTGTTCCTCGACTGGGCCTTTGCTGCTGCCCGCCCATCTCTCCATCCCCCTCTCACCATCCTCCCACACTGCTCCTCCCTCTCCGCGCTGCCCCACGCTACCCTCTCCCTGGGTGGGCAGCTTTCCCCCTTCCACTCAGGTGACCACCGAAACCTCAGAGTCTCCACAGCTGTCCCTTCCTCCATGGCACTGGTGGCAGCTCTCCCTTGCTGGGTGGCTCAGTCCTAGAAGGACGTCAAGCCCTCCAGCATCTTCCTCTTTGCTGCCTCCCCCCTTCTGCTCTTAAATACAGCGAAGCTTCCAGCATCTTAAAAGAAAAACCCTAGAGGCAGCCGCCAGTCTTTTCAGCTCTAGCGCAGGCACTGTCCTTTTACAGGTGAACTCCTTCACCTTGCACGGTCTCCAGTTCCTGTCACCATCTTTCTCCGATCCCGACGGGAAAACCTCAAGCCCCTCTCTACTCAGTGCTTCAACTGCTATCATGGAGTGGGTCTTTCCCCAAACGACCTCTACAGCCTTGGCTCCTCCCCTCACCTGTCCTCCGGTCCTCACTTTCCAACGGGCGATCCCTTTGTTCACCTCGCATTGTCCCTCCAGCCAGTTCTGCAGCTGTAAGCCCAGTGCTCCCAGCTAACATCCTCCCAACATCTCCTCCGGTGCCCTGCTTGACACATGGTGTATTATGCTCTCGGGACACCTTTGTCATGCCTGGCCTTCCGGGCACTTGGTTCTTCCCATCCCTGCATCTCCCCCTCCCCCCCCCCCACACCCATGCCCTTGATCTCTACCTTTCCACATTCCACCCCACCTTCCCGAATCTCCCACTCCTCCGGCTTACAGCAATCTCAGAATTCACCCCTGTCTACTTCACGAAATGTAATACTCAGTTGCTCTGTTTCCTGGGTCCTGATTTCCAACTATACCATTCAAGGCTTGAGAACAGGGGAGTCTTTGAGCCCCCCTAGGGCTTAGCACGATGCTGGTCACGTAACAAGTAGGCGGTGAACACCTATGAATGATCAGTTTAATCCTAATTTAATATGGTTAGCTTGGGATACCGACCGGGGTCACTAGGAAATTGGCTTGGCCATGCGCCACACCCCGAGTCTGGATGGTGGTTCCTGTCCTTTGCAGAGCATTTGGTTCGTAGGTGTGCAGTGACCTGTTTGCTCCCCAACAAGCCACCTCCACGAGCCTCTTGGGAGAGAAGGTCACAATTCCAGGGAGAGTGGCCACACGGGCAAAGAATTTTCTGTGAGGTTTGGACACAGAAGCCTGTTCAAATCCAAGTGGGTGTTGTAACTATGAGTAGTGCTGGATGTTAATTAAATTTTTTGTGGAGGTCATTTTGCAATATATACATAAATCCTATCATTATATTGTACCCCTGAAACGAATACGATGTTATATGCCAACGATATCTCAGAAAGAACCCAAACCCAAACCCAAACCCGAACCAATATGGGATCTGGGGTAAGGTGGGTTCAACTGGCCCCCATCAAAATGATTTAGTTTCTCAAGTACCGAGAGCAATTTAGGACCAGATGATCTCACGGAGGACGTGACCCGACAGAGTGGACTCTGAGAGACGGAAGGCACTGTAGGGAGGTTTCAGGGTATTACATTTGGCCGCCGACACCATTCTTAATCGATCTGTTCAACGTGTTTCAAGATTCCTAATGGACACAGTAATGACAACGTTCAAAGACCAGGGTGTGCTTACACTCACCACCTTCCGCTGGAACAGGGAACCAGAACAGCACCTGCTCATCCGGCCCACAACGTCTGGCCAACTCAGGTCCAAGAGCCTCTGACTCTAGACCAGAGGCCGTATTTTGTGTGCCTTCCACACCACCCCCTACAAGACTGCTCAGCAATGGGCCATTCGTCTGCAAGACAGGCAGTTCTCACGACTCAAAGGCCAGTCACTCAACGTCCGCAGAAGAATTACATTTCACAAACAGGGGGAGGTGAGCAAATAGAACAGGGGCAGACTTCCTTCAAATGCACTTAGGCTTAGCTGCTCTTACTCAAGGACCATCCGATGCCTCTGTATCACCACCGTGCCCCATCCCGGGTTTCTTCCAAACACGGCAGGAAACTGACCACAGTGAGGTCCCCTAATGTCCCTCCTCCCACTTTCCTGAGGTCTGAGGCAGTCTGCTGTCTGTCCCACTGGCCCACTGTCAGCACCTGCGTGCTGCCACCTCGCCCCACCCTGCTGACCCCAGCCGACCCCAGGACAGAAGAGCTCATGAGCCCCTTAGAGTCCAGGGCTATGTGTGTGTGGCCCCTTGGGTCTCTTTGGCTTTAAAAGCTTCAAGGAGGTGATTAACTTTCCATGTGGGTTCTTTCCGGTGAGGGTCAGGGAACCAGTTAGCATTCCTCGTGGTTTCCTTCTATTTCCCCCCTGAACCACTGCTGTGCGTCTGGGTCTGTGGACTAAAGTGACGGCCTGTGGTCACCTAAATGACCAGTGGTCGGACCCAGAGATGCTCATAAACTCTTGCTTTGATGAGACCCTGGGACCTAGGGAATCGTGTGAAGTTGGCTTTGGACTCCACCCGCAGGATACACAGCGTGCGTTCTCGAAGAATCCGGACCCACACAGGCACACACAAACTTGAGAAAAGGAACATATTTCCTTTCCCTGTGTGGTTTGCACATAGTAATTTCTAGCCAGCCAGTGAGGTAAGCGAACAATATGTACCCAGAGCTCGGGTCACCAACCTGCCCACCCCGGCGTGCACCCGGAGGAGTCTGGGAAAACTCACTCTGAAAGCAATCTATCAGGATCAGTCTCTCCAGACCAACCACAGGAAAAGAGAGAAGAACACTGAGTCAATGTTCAGAAGTGTATTATCCATCATCTTTTTTTTTTCCTCCCCGTACCGCATGTTTGATACCTAGAGGCAGACTGGGACATCCCTGAGGGCGGGGACTGGCCCTTTTCTCCCTGGTTCTTTCTCTTCAGCCCTCACTCTCAGCCCCAGGACTTAGTCCCGGGAGAAGTCTAGAAGCAGACTGCACTGGCTTTCGTAGCCTTGCCTAGGAGGCGGCTCCAGGCTCGAATCTTATCTGTGCCTCCTGCCTCTGTGCTGGACTCAAGTTGATAATGAAGCAAAATTAAATGCACGCGCCGATGAGCAAGAGCTTGAGACCCCGACTGGGTTGGGCAGAGCCCAGCCACCTGCTCTACTTGGTCAACTGTCCAGTTCCCTTGCCTGGCTCCCAAGCTGGCCTGGCCCCTCGCTCAGACGTCCTGCCTGAGTTGGCTGGGCTAGCCTCAAGCAGGCAGCCGGACTCAGACTCCCTGAGCCTTGACAGCATGAACGTGGGCAGGATAGGCCGGAGGCATGGGGAGGAGGTTGGAACGTCCAGACCAGGAGGGACCAGGCTAGAAGGGGTGGAGTGAGACATTTATACAATTGGGTGGTGAATCTCAAGATGCAGGCTACCAGGACCAGCCTGGCCACAGGAAGAGTAGTGAATAACGGAGCCGACATTCATAAGGTCATATGAATCATCGTGTGTTTCTCCCCACCCCCGCCATGCTCATATCTCCTAACCTGCACCTGATTAGGACATCCTGGGGGCAGGACCTGGTCCCTTTCTCTCTTTGGCTCTTTCCCCCCACCTTCACCCTTTGCCTCAGGGCTTAGCACGGCCACCTGCCCGGCTGACCGTGAAGATACACACAAACAGATGAGCAGGTGGCCTCAAGTCTCCAGACTGCCTGCCCGCCCAGACCTTATACCATTTACTGAGCCCCTAGTGACCTGTTCACTTGGCACACTGAGGTTGCTTCTCTAGCTACAGCCGAAGTCCCTTTTGAGCCAGGACTATCCTCCTCCTGGAGAGCTCCTTCCTCTTCCCCAGCATGACAGAAAGTCAACTACTTTTAAGCCATGGCAAACTGGGGACAAAAAAACTAAACCGGGATAAAGCCCCGAACAATTCGTGTCACATACTTTGGAACTTTTTTTTTTTTTTTTTTTTTTAAACAGATGACAGTGGCAGGGCAGTGACACACACGCCGATCCTGGGAAGATTTCTGGGTCAAGACCCTTGGGTGGCCCTATCCCTTCATTCCACGTCCTGTGCGCACAGGGCAGGCTGCTCTGCACTCCGGCAGCCCCCAGACCGACTCGCAGCGCCCACGATCGCACACACCCCAAGCCCTCGTGTTGCGGGCACAGCCAGGGGGCCAGGCGGCCTCCTCTGTCCTCGTTTCCTTCTGGCCCCCCCCCCGCGTCGCCACAGGGTCAGAAGGGCACTCTCCACTTCCGCTGCGCATGCACTCTGGCTCCTCCTGGCTTTGTGGGAGCTGCGGACTGACTAAGAGCTGAGACACGCCATGCAAGGCGGGGAGTGGGTGGGATGAGCCTTCTTTCCAAGGAGAAGAGACAAGCAGGAAGCTGAGGATGGAATGAAATGCCCCATGCTTGCAGGGGACGGCCAGGCCAGATCCCCTCTCACCTGTACTGGTCATAAAGGTGACGACGGTACTGCTGATGCCCTTGTTGTCCCGGGAATAAACGCGCAACGTGTATGTCATCCCGGGATAGAGGTCTGTCAGCTGTATAGGCTGGGCCTGGGCCTTAACAGGGACAGTTTTTTTCGTATGGTTGCCTGGGGAACAGAAACCTCAGTCAGCCTAGGGCCAGGCAGGAGGAGCTGGGGAGGCAGTGCTTAGGGTCCCGGTCAACTGTCCAAGGCAGAAGCGTGGGGGATGGGGCCGGGCCATCGCGCAGACTAGGAGGTCACCAGGCAGCGCCAGCAGCCCTTCCACGCGACGCTGACTCTCCTACGTGACGACCCTTCAGCCAACGGCACTATCCTTTCTCCAGCCTTCTTCCCCCACTACAGCCTTGGCACCAAACGTGATGACCTACTTCCTGCTCCTACAGAGCATGTCAGTGAATGCTCTGTTGTCCTGGGGGTGACAAACTTCCCGCGCGGGAGCTTTCTGGTGAGGCTCGGAGAGCCAGTTAGCATCCCTCATGGTAACTGGAGGGGAGGCAGGACTCCAGTCCTTGGCTCTCACTCCTGGTTTCACCTCTCATTTCTTGCTGTGTGGAGAACCCACACCTCAGGAGAAGGGAGCGCCCTTGTTATCGGGGTGTAGGGCGAACGGTGGTTATAGGAAGCTGAAATAGTAGGGGCCAAGCTAGGGATGAGAGTCGGTGGATGTGAACCCTTCCGACCACGGAGAAGTAAGACTTGGCTTTGCTCGTTCCTTAGAGATCTTCTGGCTGAGTTAGCTGGTTTAGTTGCTAGACGACAACGTGGTGGGGCTGAGTCCTCAGGAACAGGGGCCTTCTCTCAAAGAAGGAGATACGTTGACCACCCCCTACAGCGTAACGAATATGACCCTTGATCCCAAGATCCAGTAAAGAGTGAACAGCTCAGCTCAAGCCACCGGCTCTCTGCGACAAGCGACCCTGGTCTGTGCCTTGGACCGTAGGGCACTGGCATCCCTCTGTGAGCAAAACACAGTGGTACCCAAAGTCTGACCTGAACTAGTGAAGAAACCAGAAACCAGACACTAGTGGATTCTGAGCTAAGGAAAGCCACACAGAGTGAGCTTTGGCTCTTATGGGGGCTGTTCGGAACCCTCATCCTGGGCAGGAAACGGACGAAGGGCCCCACTACCCGGGTCCTCCCCAGCGCATGCAACCCTAGACCTCCACTAATGGCTTCGGAAGCCCTCTTCCTTCTCCTTCGACTGCTGTTCCCACCCCGCTGCCGCCTGAGTGCGTATCGATTTCATTAAGTCATAATTAAGCCGGGCCAACAGGCCCCTCTGAGCCTGGGGGAGTTCACAGGATCTCTTTAATGGCATCTACGCTACCCACCGCAGCTGCCGCCGTGCCCCGCTCAGCAATGCTTACTGTCGATGTACTCAACCACAAAGTCAGTTCCGGGCCCGAAATTGTGCTTCCAGGTGATGTTGGCCCATTTACTGTTGGGGAGGACCGTGACGTTCCATATGGACTGCCTGTCGGGGGCTGGTGGGCAGGTTAGAAGAGGGGTTAGTGATGAGGAGACAGGCAGCTCCGGAGACACACGCGTGCACACACACATGCACACACACACATACACACGCGTGCGCGGCTCGGAAGGGGAAGAGTCAGAAGTGGCTGTGCAGGGGGCCCGACAGCGCTCCAAGCTGCAGCCTTGGTGGCCAGGCCAGAGGTCGCCATCCAGGTACGAGCGGGCGCAGACAGGAGGACCTGTATGTGAGGGAGAGCTGGAAACTGTGTGTCCACACAGGTGGGGGTAGGAATGAAAGAGGGGGTCTTGATCCATGCCATGGGAGGCTCGGACCTGGGCTCTTTCCCTTTTTTGATCCTTTGTCATGGGTTGGAACGGTGCAGTAAAACCCGGACGCCGGGCAAAGCTCCCCTGGCCATCCTACAGACAGAGGGGCAAAGAGGTGCCAGCCTCTCTCCCTTCAGCTACAGACACTCTACAGGAAGGAGAGCAGGATCTTTAGAAACCCCTCAAGAGTCGTGATGTGTAGAAAGTTCAGGACCAAACGTGGGAAAGCCTTACAGGGCTCCTGAACCGGGAGAACGGTAACGCAGACCGGTGATTCGGGAGTCCCTGGGTCAGCACGATCCTGGATTGTGCGGAACATGGCCTCAGATTGTTTAAGGGGACTTGGGGTCAACAACCCCAGGGTCCCAAGTAGAGACAGTATGAGCCCCTCCTCTCCCTGAGCCCCTCCTCTCCTTCTCACGGGCTAGGTGGGAACCAAAGAAGAGAACTCCTTCTTGACCCCCAACCCCCAGCGTTTGAGACACCAGAAAAATCCAATTTTTTTCGGCTCCTCAGCACTAAATTGTCTTTCAGGCTTGATCTCCATGCAGTACGGAAGACATTAATTATCTAGTTCCTATGAGCTGGGAGCCACTTTATCAAAGCCACCGCACTGTCTGAAACCATAGCCTGTGGACAGGAGAGTGGCACTAATCTTCAAACGTAATCATTTTGCAAGAGTCCCAGCAGTCTGATTACCCCATTTCCCGGCAAAGATTTAATAGCGGAGTACTAGCATGAAGCCTTGTATTTCAAAGACTTTACAAGTGTGGCTCCTGTATATTTTATTAGCATGCAAGGGGGCACTGTCACTAACTCACTTGTCAAATATAAATGAATAGAGTACATTGGTGATGCATTTATTCATTACCCATTTGACATGTGACTGAGTCTGCAGGGCTGGGAAAGCGATAAAAGATCTCCTGGTCTTTACTTCGAAGGGGGTGGCTTCTCTACTACAACCTTGTCAGTTGCGGGTTGCCCCAGGTGAATGACTCATGTCAGGTGAGGGGCCAAGAAAGAGATTCCACTGATGGCACCACAGGGCATTCTCCATGGGGAGGGCAGAAGATAGGCTTCTTTACTTATCTGCCAGGTGTTTCCATTGTACTGGCGGCTTTAAGCCACCCCAAATCCCAGCTCCTTGGAATCTCACGACTCTTGCTAGTGGGAATGAATTATGAGAACTCATGATTTGGGAACTGGAGCTTCTTCTTCCTCAGCTCGGGGGCCTGGAAATAGCCAGAGAATTTGGGTTTACACAGTTTGGCCACCAATACAATAACTGACCCAAATCTGACTCTCGTAAAGGGCGTGGAGACTGGGGCATGACTGGAGCAGAATGACACAGAGGTGGGAGCTGGGGGAAGGCAGGGCCACTGCTAAAGAACTGAAAAGCTCAGAGAGGAAGACCAAGAAGGAGAGCTATCAATTACTATAAAACACAAAAAGCGTGAGAGGAAGCATGGATTGTTCTGCGGGCTCCCAGAAAGGGAGAATTAGGGGGTATCCCCTGAAATCTGAAAGAGACAAGTTAAGGCCAAATAAAAAGCCCCGTTTCACCCTAAAAGAAAGGAAATTCAGGAAACATTGGGTCCTAAGGTAGAAGACATGAAAAAGCTGAAAGACGGTTAAAAAAATCGTGGCTGGCAGAACCGCTCTCCTGTACTGAGGGAAGTGAGGATGTTTGCGGGGTGTCCCCAGGCTCTAAAGACAAATTCAGGGGCACAGGCAGGTCCTCTGCAGCGTCTTGGACAGTTAGAAGTCGCGTGTGAGCGTCAATGGGGCTAGTCCTATGTGGCAGCAAGGCCGATCTTTCCAGAGTGCAGTAACTCTGCTGGGAGGCAAGGTCCAGTCCCCTACTTCCTTCTCTGTGCATCTGTTCTGTGACCTCCAAGCATTCACGGGGACACAGGGCCCTGCTATCATGCAAAGATGCCTCATCGTGGCCCCAAAGAACACCCGACACCAAACTACCGGTGGGAGCTTCTGATGGCCTGCCAGGCTTCTCCTCAGCCAACGTCTTCCTAAAGTCTGTATGGTTTCAATTCTGGATATTGTATCTTTAAAGCAAATCCGTGCCTTCAAGGCCTGAGGAACACCGTGTCCCCGATGTATCACTCGCCTCCCCTTTGGGCTCACGTAATTGAATTAAAGACAATACTCACAGGGTGCATTAAGCCTCCACCCTCATTCAGGTGCTGAGCCGTGAGGCCTCGGAAGGTAAAGGGACTTGCCCAGGACGCAGAGGGGTCTACAGTCCTACAGCTGCTGGCGGAGGGCTCTGGATGCCTCCTGCGTCCCCTGCCAGCTGCATCACACTGTTTTTATAGCTGGCCCGTGGGCTCTGTGAACTAGAGGCCCTCCCCTGGATGGTAATGAAAGAGTGTTTGATGCTTGGCTCTTAGAGGGACGGCTAAATTGCCCAGGGGTTCGCCTCAGGCTGGAAGGACAGAGCTTTCTGGCCTGGCTGCACACGGGACAGCACATTTTCTGGGCTCAGCAGGCCAGCCCTGGAATCAATTCTTAAGGCTGCGATTCTCCCTTCGGGTGTGCATCTAGGGGCGTGGGCGTTATGGGGCTCCCTGGCAAGGCTCTTTCCCGGAAGCTCTTCTTTTAAAAAAAAGGGGGCAGGGGGCGGGGGCGGCCGGAAGCGTGCTTTGTGGGGAGACCATATGAGGGAAGAGCAGGGTTCTGGGTACAGAGCTGCCCGGCAGGGCTGGCCACTCCCCACGCCTCAGCCTTCTATGTTGCAGGGCTGAATGCGACGCGGCCGGGGCAGGAAGCCCTCTCAGGCCAACTATCCGGGGTCAGGCCCGCGTCCTCTCTCCCTTCCAGGGTGCTCAGCCCTAAGCTGCTGCTTAGCACGGAGGTGGAGGCGGCCCTCCCATCCGGGACCCGGGGACCCTGCCTGAGGAGCGTGGCCCGCTGTGAACACGGATCTGAGGCTAGAATGGGGGCGTGGAGAGCCGCCCACGGATGGGCCGAGGTGCTCCGTGCCCCCGGGCTACCAGACTGAGAATCCTCGCCACGTGTGCCTTCAAAGTGGAAACAAAGGGCGGTGGTGGCCAACGGCATCTCAGACCCGCCTCCCCCACGCGGGGAGCCTCCCGCGGAGGGATCGGGGCGCAGGGACAGTGGGCAGTACCGGATTCGGGCATCTTAGTCCCGGAGGTGGTGGCGGGAGGCCTCTCCGTGGTGGCGGCGGCGGCGGCAGTGGTTGTAGTTGTGGCGGCGGTGGTGGTGGTGGTGGCGGTGGCGATGGTGGTAGGTGCGACACCTGGGATGGTGGGGACTGTGGTGGCTTCGGTGGTGGCAGCGGTGGCAGTAGCGTCAGTACTGCTCACAGCGCCCGTCGCACCCACCGGAGTCGGGGGCAACGTGGGAGGAGCTGGGAGGGAAATGTAAAACAGCCGAGTCCGGTTGGTTCGGGCGTCCCCGGCCTGGCCTCGCGGCCCCCGCGTGCAAGGCAGGCAGCCCGGTGGGGAGACGGGGCTCGGTACCCGGGAGCCCCCGCAAGCGTGACGGACCGGGTCAGAGGATCACGGGGAGAGAACACAGCCATGGCCGAGGAAGAGAATGAAGCCCCGTGCGTGTTTCATTTTCTTCGCATGGTCTGTGTGGCTCAAAGCGCCCAGCATGCACCCGGCCGAGGGTGAGGGTGAGAGGATGGCGATGGGAAAGGACCCGCACCAAGTCACTCCGGCCCCAGGCACGGCTTGGGGTCCCAGGCCAGCGCCACCCAGACACAGGCCAGGCAGCAGCCCTGGAGCTCCAGGCTTGGAGGGGGGCAGGTGGCCGGCTGTGTCCCGCAGGAGCACCGGGCCGACTCCCATTCCCAACCATCCGCTCCCAAATTCCCCTTTCTCATGGCTGCTCGAGTTCTGACACCCCCAAACCCAACCAGAGAGAGAACAATCCCCACTCTGTAGGTCGGCCTCCCGGCGTGGCCCGCGTCTCCTGTCTCACTGTCCACCCCTCCCCAGGCACTCAGCTCCAGTCCATGGCCCTGCCTCTCCTCCCTTCTTCTCTGCCCAGTGATGGTCCTCCCGAACGTGTAGTAACTCCTCTCTTCCCAGCACATTTGGGTTTCCCCTTCACATCAGGACGTGGGAGGGACACTAATGCTGCCACAGCATAGTCTGTGCTTGGTAGATGGAGAAATCCCAGGACGCAAGCGAGATACATTTGTGGGTTTCTTTTTTGCATAAATCTGCAGGGGATTGGTTCAGATCTCTGCTCGCTCTCACACCTTCGTCTCCCATCCGAAGCTACCCTCGATGCTGGTCAGCCCCAGGGGACTAGTGTCTATGTGACATCGCTTCCATAGGCTTGCTTTCCTTCTACAGGAGGATCATGGCAGCTACCAAAGGGCTGTCCTGTGACCCTCTCGTTCCAATATTGCCAAAGCCGAGGTGTGAGAATGATGGGGGCAAATCAGAGACAGAGCCCCGTCTCCTCTTGCCATCTCTTGTAATCTGATTAGGGTCGACTTTATGGGGCAGAACGCAGGGATGTTAAGATATAAGACACTTGTAACTCCAGAGGAATAGCGACATCCCAGCCCTATCTCTAAATCTCTAGAAGTTTAGGAAGAAAATAAGCTCACTGCCCGGGGTGGGGCCAGGGCAGGGAGGGAGCCAGAGAGACAAGTGACAGGGAGCTTTTCTCAGGGGAGAATGAAGACACCCTAGGCCTTTCCAACAAGAGTCTGACCAACAAAAGCCCTTTCATTCCCCTGGGTGTCCAATATTACAAGTCCCCATAGAGAAGGAGGGGCTGTTCTGGGATCCCAACTGCTTCCCTATTTGCAAGATCAGAGGCAGTGCCGGACCCTGAGGCTGCTGACAGCAGAAGTCACATTGGGTGGCCAAGTATGTCCCATGCATTCCAAAGATTCCTGGGCAGGGTCAAAGCAGGCAGTGCTATATTCCCTATACCTCCCGACTCAGACATCAGGAAGGTGTGGGGTGGGGACCATTCCCCCTCCCCACTGTTGAAGCAGGCCCAAGGTGGCCCCAGGCCTAGAAAGCTCAGTGCTATAAAAACTCAGCATGAGGGAATTCACCTATCACACTCACCAAGACCTACAGACAGACACATGGAAAAGCCTGAGAGATCCACAAGGCCAAGGTCAGCTCTCTCCCAGAGCTGGCCCCTTGCAGGTCCTGTGCCGTGGACACACATGGACTTTTCCTGCTGCTCTGTGCTGCAGGAAGGAAACCTGAGAGGCTATCTTGCCCATCGGGGCAGGTCTTTCTCTGATCTGCTTCCTCCTCAACAGGGTATTTTCTAATAATTTCTGGCAAATACAGTTGTCACAGGGCCCCCCTTTTCTATGACCACTTAAAAGGCATCATCAAAAAACTTTGGGAAGATGCTCCTTTTGAGTTAAACCTATCCCACTCTGTGGAGCGCAGACCAGGGCAGCGGTGTTGCATTTCCGGGGCCCCCTGAATCAATGTCATTTCCCCCCAAAGCTGTACACACTCATGTGCCCCTTAGTTCTTGTGAAGTGGAGACACACACACTACATCCCACAGGCCCACAGCTAGGCTCGCACGCACCTCCCCGGGCCGTCCTCTGAGAGCTTTAGAGACAGAGACGCTAAGAGAGGCTAGGTGAGGGCCCTGCTGGTCAGAGACAAGAACAGGAAAGGACTTTGAGGATGCTGCACTGTCTTGTCCCTGTCCTTCAATGGCTCCTTCCACCAAGCGTGACCGGAAGGAAGCGTTACTGACGAAGCATTACTGACCTAAATGCTTTTCCTTCAGCTCAGCGGCAGCAGCCCTGGGGTATTAGGGAGAGGGGGACAAGAGGCAAGGAGTGGTCTCCCAGGCGCCCTCCCAGAGGGTGCCCGTCATTGGAGTCACCATGGAGGAGGCAGCCCCAGCTGGCTGAGGTCACAGCTGGCAAATCAGTGTTCTCTCTGGCCCACTCATTAGCTGCATCTATTGTCCCATGGCCGGACAGGGCCAGACAGACAGGGAGGGCAGAGGCGAAAAGGAAAGGCTCTGGGTCAGGTGAGTGAGTTGTTGGAGGCTCCTACAGGCGCGAGGGGAAGGCAGGTTTTCACGGGGAAACCGTCCAGCGCTCAGGTCAAAGGGGATCTAGAGGATTTCGTCCCCTGGGGTGGGGTTCGGGTAGAGGACAGAAGGGGGTCAGGGGCTTAGAGACAGAGTGGCCCACAGGCTGGACAGGCATGCTGCTGGGCTAAGAGGGCATCTCTAGTTACAGCAGGAATTATGGGATGGAGAACCATAATTCTGTGCACTATGTCCGTCAGTGATCGGTGGAGAGCACCAGCCTTGACCCCAGAACCTGCCATGGGGCTGCCCACCAAACATTTGCAGCTCTGAGTCACAGACGAGGACAGCAGTTTCCAGACATTCCAAGGTGGAGGGTTCAGTCCAAACATGTCCACATGGCGCGTGGACTACCCTGGCCAAATCACAGATGGCCAGGGCAGATGGGCAGCAATCCTTAGAGACCACAGGCACAGGTGCACGAGAGGGGTTATTTTCACGGGGTAAGGTATGAACAGATCGGTCTGGGGTAAAAAACAAAACAAAACAAACAAACAAACAAAAAAAACAACCACCCAGGTTTGGGGAAGATGAGAGGGAAGGGAGCAGTGGGCTGGATAACAGGCCCGTGTCAAAAATGTGGAACCTGGGCTCCATCGCTTGGCACCTGCAGATTGTGCAGAAGGTTCTTATGAATCTAAAGCTGAGAACAGCTGGTGCCATCAGCACATCTCATTTACAGAGAAGCGCAATGTGCCTCTACCAGCATGTCGTGTGGAAGCCGGCGTCCAGGAAACACATTTGACAGAGGGACAGAGCCCCTGAGCTCATTGTGCATGCCACGGTGGGCCTGGATCTTTTCTAAACGGGAAGCGGAAAGTAGGGGGTTTGGAACGATCGCTTTCCCTTGCAGGGGCCACTCGTGAGAGGGGCAGTCCAGACTGGCACGGTGCTCACTGAGCAAGGCAGACCCCATGCTACCAGACCCGTCTGCCTTGGGTCCCAG